GACTTTGAAACTCATCAACGTTAAAACTCTCGTACACAATCTCCTTCATCTTGCTTTTGATTTCTTTATACCTAAATTATAAAATGCAGTGATAAAGCAGTGAATTAAAAATCATAATATTGAATCCTAACATAATACATCAACTTGGATAATCAAATCCAAGTTTATCAATGAATGTAACATATACCTTTTGCATTTACCGAGTTTTTCTGGAATCTTTCTCATGATGTGCCAAATGCACCAACAGTGGCAAGTTGTAGCGGCTTCCTCATGGCTGCAGCTTGATCTGTGAGAATTGCTTTTGGAGCTTTGTCGTTCATGCATGCCAACCATTCCTTAAATACCCACCGGAATGTATCGCAATCTTTATGAGACACCAAAGCACACCCCAACAGTATTGATTGGCCATGGTGGTTAACCCCAATGAAATTTACAAATGGAAGGTCATATTCATTTGTCAAATACGTGGCATCAAAACAAACCACGTCACCAAACTCCTCGTTTGCCGCCCGGTTACGAGAATCTACCCACATGACGCCTTTTAATCGGCCTTGATCATCCAACCTTTGGGAATGGTAAAAGTTTTGGTTTCCTGCTTGCATTTGTTGAAAATAATTCATCATAGCACTCAAATCACCACCTTCCATTTTCAACCGCCGCTCCTTATACACCTCGTGTTGCAAGTCTTTAACTACTTAATGTAAGTTTTCTGTTCCATTTAGCACTGTGCCAAGGCAGCCATGGATTGAGAAACAGGTACGCCTTTATAAAAAAAATTCAACAACTTCTTCCTCACTCTTGATGTAAAATGCTTCATACGATACTCCTTAACAAGTTTTGCTTTCCTAGGACTAGGAATGTGTGAATGTTCAAGATATACTTTCTTCAATACCCATTGACCCTCATGGTTGACACTAGCATAAATCATTGCTTTACATTCACATTTCTTAGACTTCCGTTTCCTTAGATTTAATTCATCCTCACAAACCACTCCCCAAACTACACCACCTGAACCACTCATATCCATCGCCTTCGCCCTCTTCCTCGCTTCTCTTTGCGACCTCATATCCGGTCTCCCCCAACACTCACACCTCCACGTTGTTGTAATTCTTTGTTTCGTCCCATCCTTTGAATAGGTTCTCTTGTAATACATCGTATTTTTATACTTATTTTAACTTAAATAAGTATTTCTTAAAGTATTTAAATAATACGAAATGAATTATTTATGGTGTTTCATTAATTTAAAAAGAAATATATTAATTAAAAGTTTATTTTTAATTATTTCACAATCTTGAAAATATTTTATTTCATGATTTGGAAACTTTGGGGCATATTATTTTATAAAAGGAAATTTTAAAGTCAACGAGTTTTTAAGGAAAGTCAAAATACTAGTTTGAATAGGAAAGGGATCATTAAGGGTAATAAAGGAATTTTACGTAGGAGGGTTATTGAGATAGGGTATAAATACCCATCATATGAGCAAAATCAAACTTTGCCCAAGGTGGAGAATACCCAAAGGTAAACTCTCTCTCTCTCCTCTTACTTTCTTTTCCCCTTAATTTTTCCCTTTCCCCTTTATTTTTATTTTTGGTTCAATCACCACCCACACACACACCACCACCGGCCGGCCACCACCACAACCACCACCGGTTGGTTGCCACCACCAGTGAGCGCCGGCAACAGCAGCACCGACCAACAGGCGCGGCAACAGCCTTGTCGCGGTGGTGCTGTGCGCACACCTTTAAAAAAAAATTCTTTCTTTTTGATTTTTAATTAAATCCACCCTTGATCTAATTATTGTTTTTGGGTTTTGTGATGACTTTTATGGTGTTTGATAATAAGTATTTTATATATAAATTTTCAGATTTGGTTTTGAATTAAAAAGCTCCAAATTATAAACCCTAGGTTTCTAAGTTTATGTATATTGATGGAAATTGTTTATGGGTGATTTAAATAATTGAAATAAGTGTTTTAAAACACAATTACAGCAATTTTAAATGATTTAATAAAGCTGGAATTTTTATATATAAGCTGTAATTATGTTTCTTAAAAGGATTTTTAATTATCCATTAATTGGGAATAAAAGTAAGGGTTTTAAATTAAATTTAAGCTTGTTTTAGAGGGTTTATGAATGATTTAAAGAGTGAATATATTGCTTGAAATTTGTGTGGAATAGGTATTAATGCCTCTTTGTAATTTTGGTTTATAGGAGGTTTTCCAAGTGAGTGATTTTATTTAGTCGTGGCGATTTTGAGAACATATTCAAGGTACGTTCGCGTACTCGGTAATTATTGGAATTTGTTGTATGATTGATGTTGGTAAATGATTTGTGATGTATGAATTATTTATAATGAGTTGGTGATTGGAATTAATATTGTTGGCATGTTGAATATGAACCACACTTTTATTATTGGCATGATGGAGAGCATGTTTAATTAAACTAATTGTTTAATTTGATTTGGAATATAAAAAGAGAATTTTATTATGGTTCATATAATTTTTTATTGATGCTTCATGAGGAAGGAGCTATTTAAGTGTCTATGTACACGAGGATCAAATTATATTTTGGTGCCTAAGTGCACTTAAGGTGTTCTAAACACCGAGGGATATGATTTGTGGTGCTTTATGCGCTTAAGGTGTTATTTAACACCGAGGTAGTTTAAAAAGGGATTCAATACTAAATTTATGTGGTCACTAATTATTCAAGAATTAAATTGGTATGTTTGATTGCTTGAATGAATTATAATGTTTGATTGTGTTATGGTTTGAGAGTCATCACCAAGTATAATAATATTTAAAGCAACGTAAAGTGAAAGAGATTACGCACCAAAACTCTTGGAACATATATACCTTGAGTATGAACATATGGGGGGAGTTATGCGACTTTATATTTGGCCATAACTTCTATTGGGAGTACAGGACGCTGTATATTCTTTTTTTATTATAAGCAGGAATTCTGCCACTTACAAGTGGTTCTTTTATACTGGCACAGTTAGCTCCCGTGTTAGTACCCCTTTATTAGGGCAGGTTAGGGGGAAACCTATTCGATGCGTAATCAAATTAAATGAACATTGGTATTTGACTAGTTAAGTGTTGAATATCTTGTATGCTTGTTTACAGGTGCAACAAGGTAAGTTGTGTGATGATAGGATGAGAGCATGATAGTGTGTTTTATTATGCTTATGTACTCAGCATTGTTGATTGTGTGTTGTATGTTTTTTTGACCTTGTCTTTACCTTATCCCTACGACGACCCATTTCTAATGGCGAGTAGTGGGGACAAGTAGAGAGAAGTTTTTCAAGTGATGAAGCATTTTCATGATAGGCATGAGTGAAGAGCGAATCATGCTTAATTTCCATAGGAATATGATGTGTATTATCTGCTTTGGATATTATTTATTTTATTATGCTCATGAGACTAACGTAAAGGTTTTCAGTATTGTTTGGTTTTATGGGCGTACAATGGTTCCAAGCTGTAGGTTGACTTTGTTTGACTTTACTTTCGTTTGGTTTGACTTTTAAGTTGACTTGTTTTGGATAGTTTTAAAAGATAGTCTTCCGCTGTGTGTCTTTGATATTTTCCTTAGCCGATTTCACGGTGGCGGTAATGTCTTAGATTTTTCCTATTTCGTATTTTAAAAAGGGAAAAACAAGTATTTCAAAGGAAAGGAATTTCTAGGGTGTTACAAAGTGGTATCAGATCTTAGGTTGAGATTTTTATTACCACTAAAGCCAAAAACGTGTTTTAAAGTGTTTTGTTTTAAACTTGGCCAAGTGCTTATTTAATTAAGTAATTTTTAAAAGTGAGTTATTTTAATTTGTTTTGATTTTAAGAGAACCAAACATTTATTTATTTATTTTTTTAGAGTCCCGAAATTTATTTTTTTTTTATTGTGGAAAATCCGAAATTTTGTTTTTTTTATGAAGGACATTCGAAATTTTTTATTTTATTTTAGGGTGTTCGAATTTTTTTTATTTGGCCGAAAATTTGGGCTTTTTTTTTCAGAGCTTATTTTCAAAAATTAATTTTAAAAGAGGAGTCAAAAATATTTATTTATTTTTAGTTTGTTCATTTTGCAGGAAAGCAAGGATTGAGGTAAGTGTTATGTGTTAAAAGCTTGCTGGTGAGCTTGGGTAGGAAAGAATTTGGGCATATAAGTTAGAAATAATTATGTTCTTGTATGCATTAAATTTTAGGTTGTGATGTTTGATCATGTGGATTGATTAATTGAAAGCATGTGATTATGTGATTAAGAATAGGTGAAATTGTTTGATTGAACATTGAACCAAATTCATGCAAGAACTGTATTATTTTATCTTCTTTGGGAAGGGAATTCTTTTCTAAGCCTTTTCCTTTACAGGATGCCGATTCTTCCTAGAAAACGTTCCCAAATTGGTACTCTAATTAAGAAAAACAATTAATATCCGTTTGACTATGTCAAGAAAATCCAATTCTATTGTTCCCATATGAGCGATGTCTTAGGAGACAGGCACTATGATCTTCCTGATCGTGTTTCTGCTATGACTATTCATTGTCTTCCGGATGAACCCCCATACCTTGCTGTCAAAGCAAAATTTTCTGAATTTTATTTACCAGGGGACATCCCAAACTACTCTAAATACAAAAATTTCTATGGACAGTGGTACCCTGACTTCAGATACTTGATTTCTTACCACGTTAGAGTTGATAAAGATAATTGCCAACACTTACACATTCCATATCCTAACTACTACTATGTTAATCCAGCAGGGAATAATTCCTCTTCCACTAGTGATCAGCCAGGAAGTTTTTCTCCCACTCAGGGTAATCAAGCAGGGACTGATAGAGGGCAGGAAGAACGAGAGATGATGGATGAGAGTAACCATACTGTTGATAGTTCCATTATGGAGATTCTAAACCCAAATCCACCTCCAACTCCAATTATAATCGACATTTCATCTGACGATAAGGAAGATGAAGAGTTTGTCTAAGTAGAGCAAGAACCAGAGTCACCTGAACCAATGGAGGAAGAAGATGACCCTGAATTCGATCTTGGAAGCTACAAACAATCTACCGGCAAGAAGAATAATGTTCGAAAGAACTAGATTTTTGTAGTTTCATTTCTTTTAGGATTCTTATATTCATTTCCGCATTTTAATTATTCCAGTTTCAGTGAAGCAATAAGTGGCATGTCCACAGTGAGACAGTAAACTTATGTAGTTGCATAAGTTATTTAAACTCATTTTATTTCAGTATTCCATTCATTTTCTTACTTAGCAATAAAATCTCATTTATTTCCTTGACAAATAATTCATTTCGTTCCCAAATCATTCATTTCGTATCACTACTTCAATAAGTCATTTCTTACTCACAAATATTCCAACGATTTATTTCTAAACTCTGGGAATCCATGGGAATTATTTTTGTTTATTAATGTGATGCTTTATTAAATGTGTGATTGGTTACCAATCAATATTTGGTTGACAAAGCTGTAAATTTTGGGAATTTTAACTTTTGTAATCCCAATTTGTTAGCTTAAAATTTAATGTATATGCTTCAAGGGTATTAACTAGTTAGATGGGTGTCTAACTTGAGAGCTAGCCAAGACCATATTTAATAAAGACCCCTTTGTGTTAATTCAGGCGAAAAAAGATGGTAGGAGGGAGTGGTAACAACAACGATGGAGGAGAGCTAAGTGAAGTTGTGAGACAGTTGGCAGCTGTTGCCTAACAATTAGCAAGGAACTCAACCAATAATGTAGATGCTCAAGGAGAGCTATTTAAGAAGGTGGCGCAGAGCAAGCCACCAACCTATCAAGGAGAGCTTGATCCAACTATACTGGAAAACTGGTTGAGGGAGTTTGAGAAACTTTTTGGGGCAGTAAGGTGTCCAGAAACTTCAAAAGTAGGTTGTGTTACCTACTACCTCAGGGGTGAAGCTGACCTTTGGTGGCAGCAAAATGAAGCTACCATTAAGGCACTACCTGGATTCAACTGGACTATGTTTCAAGAGAAGGTTAGGGACAAGTTTTACCCTAGCCTCTTACAAAAACAAAAAGCTGAGGAATTTTCTAACCTTGCAATGGGGAATATGTCGGTCACTGAATACTACACCAAGTTTATTGAGTTGTCACGATTGGCTACAGAGTCTGTTTCTACAGAAAAGTCTAAGGCTAGGAAGTTTGAGAGTGGACTGACTACTGATTTTCAGTTAAAGCTGTATGGGCAAGTATTTGAAACCTTTGATGAAGTGTATGGGAGAGCTGCACACCTCTATGCATTGGAGCTGAAGAAAAAGAAAGAGCTAGCTAAGATAGAAGGGAAAGAAAAAAGAGAAAAGAGGTGGGGCAAAACCCTGGAAACCAGCAAGGTAACTAGAACAACTTTAAGAAGCAAAAGTACCACCATAACAACAACAACTTCAGCAACAACAAATTTCCAAGGCAACAATCGCCAAGGTGGTCGGAACTTTAATGGTGGAGCTAAGAACTCTAACAAGGAAAATAATAAGGATGGAAGGCGCTATTTTTGCAAAAGGTGCAAGAATAACCATCCTGGTAGGGATTGTGATGGAAATTTGGTTACCTGTCGTGCTTGCAACAAGTTAGGATACAGGAAGTACGAATGTTTCTCCAAGGATCCCAATCGAAACAAACAGGGCAATTGATTTCACAATAGAGCTAGTTCCAGGAACAACACTAATTTCTAAGACACCATATCGAATGGCACCTGCGGAGATGAGTGAGTTAAAGAGCAATTGCAGGATTTATTTTAAAAGGGATACATAAGACCAAGTGCATCACCTTGGGGAGCGCCAATATTATTTGTGAAGAAGAAAGATGGAAGTATGAGGTTATGTATTGGCTATAGGGAGTTAAATAAGGTACTCCTGTAGATTAGTTGGAAAATTTGCACTCTTATATTTTAGTCTAGATTAGTAAACAATGAATGGTTTGGGGATAGAATAGAGGGAAAAAATACTTAAGTATTATGAAAATGATATCAGTGTTCTCTTCGTAATCCTTGCAAATTAATTGATAAGTGTTTAAATCAATTAGCAAATGAGTTGTTTTACCTTAACCTTTGGTCTTGAAAGGTCATATTTACTTATTACCATCCTATCTAGAAATAAGTCGTATATCTATCCACATAATTATACAAGTAAATATTAGAATGTAGAATGGTCTTGTTTTAAAGCATATTTCAAGCTTTTTTCTTTTTTTTTTTGGATAAAGATAATAATTTTATTAATGTCATTTTATTTTCATGTAAAATTCTTTTTTATTCGTATCATGGAGTCTATTCGAGTGTCTTTATCAAACAAAATCTTCAAATTTTGTCATTGGCATCATTAGGAAGTACACTGTATGCTCTTTAAAAGTTCTTATATATACCATAGGGTCCGTAGCAGTTAGTTATACAGTTATACTAACAGAAATGATCAACTCATCCCTAAGGTATAGAGTAAAACAATATAGGTGCCACAATACTACACGTCTACATTCAAGTACCAGTATTCTGAAAATAAATGATAGTTCAAATGGCTAGAGCTTCCCTCCCAGCTTCCAGAGATCCTGGGATTTACACAATATAAACTTGGATATAGAATTAATTAAAATTTATTTTTTTATTTAAAAAAACAAAGCAAGAATAAACTTCTTACAAACACTTGAATGTAAAATTTTCTTCTCAAAAAGTTGCTTGGGAGAATTTCTACTCCCATAACTAAATTAAAGCCTTCTTGCTCTTTCACTTAAGGTTCCAGATTGTACACTCACATTTCAATATTTACAGGTTATAAATAGATAGATAGATAATATTTTCATAAAATAACAAATGAATTATTATCATTAAAGAAAAGGTGTTACACAAAACATCAATATTTCCTAAAAAAAATTATAGCAAAATTGAAATCAGTACAATTCTTCATGGGCATTCCTAGAGCTTTCCTCCTGGAGCTCCATCAAGCATACTGAATACTCCCTCTCAAACAATAAAAATTCCTGGACCAAATAAAGATGACTTCGGTGAGCAGCACCTAAACATGAATATAAGATACTCCGCTATATACAACAGTTGTCGATAAGTCTACAAATACAGCCTCAAATAGGTTCAAACTTCACAAAATGTTCCTTGTGTGTTTGTGTGTGTTTGGGGGTGTTCAGATATGCAGATAAGTGCTTTGTCACTATCACACAATTCAGCAAAAAAATTAACGACATATCTACTAACTATTACTAAAACAAAACATTATCATCAACTCTTAAACTATCCTACGTGTCATTTTCACATTAAAAAATTTCCCTCTATTTTTATGTGTGATGTCATCAATATTTTTTTGATCTACAATATATATTTTTGAAACAAAAATTAATTGTCACTTTTTTACACAGATGATAAAAATTACGTAGTATCTTTTTATGCATAATAATAAAACTATTTAAATCGTGCAACGCACGAGTCTAATCTAGTTACTATACTATACGGAGCAAGGAAAATAATCTATGCGGACACACTTTGAAACAAGGTCTCAAGTACAGCGATCCACAAGCTTTAACCAGTTGAGCTGACAAGTAGAGTATAAAAAATTGATTGCCAAAATGGTTCCTCTCTGCCCACGAACAAAAGCCCTTATAGGAACATTCATGAGAAACATACATTCATAATTGACAAGATTGTAGGTATGTGCTAGATCGTAAAAAAAATAAAAAAAACAAAAAAAATATGTGCTTGATCTGGGTACAACTACTGTCAATCTATGAGCTAAAATGGGACTTTAAACCACTCAAAAGGTGCTCACACAGTAATGCAGCGACCTTAGAACTGGTTGCACCAAAGAAAACTAAATCTAATAAGCTGAGAAGCCAGTCTATTTATGATGGCTGTAGAAATGTAGTAATGATCTCCATTATCTTCTACCAAGATGAATGTCATAACCAATAAACTAAAATCAGCAAGTACTAACATACAAAGGTAAGCTTTATGATTTAAGGAGTTATTTTTTTAGGGTAATTAGTGTACCTGTAGTTGCTGTTGACTAAATAAATGAAGATATCCTGATTCTGGGCATGCAACAAGCTCAATCAACTCCTCATGCCTGTCAGGAACCTCAAACAACTCCACTAATGAAACAGACACCTGCAAACATAGTTACAAGTGGAGTTCAGAATCTACTGATAACAAACAATGGCACATTTAGCCATTCAAACGCAAATGACAGAAAACTTGAATGGCTACCAGAACACACTTACCTGCATGCAGCGTAGAATTAATTCTGGAAGACAACACCTACGACAGAGACCACGCACAATGTATGCAGCTGGGTATATCAAGGATCCTTCAGCATTAGAATACCAAGCATCCAATCGTGAAATCTCCATTGTGACACCAGCTTGAAATCGAGAAAGTTCACCTGCATTATATATATCAATCAATCAAAGCCTTAATCACATAAATAACCACTTTATGGGATCGAGAAAGTTCACCTGCATTATATAATATCCACTTTATCAATAACAGCATATTTTTATCCCTTGGTTCATATAATAAAGCAGGCGAAAGAGAAAGATGCAGCTAACTTATTTCGGTTGATTAACGATCTTACTTATACTTAAAGAGTAGACAGAAAAAGTATTATTGTCCTCGACCGCAAAAAGTCACACAATTTTTTAGACATAGAGCTAGAAGAAACATCTCCGAGAGTATGCAAGGATTTCCAGCTAACCAAATGCACCTAACGTTTATTAACAAGGCATTACACACAACACCTCCTCTCCTTATACGAGTTATACCCATCAAACCAGCACAGCAAGCATGCAATAGAACTGTTACACTTGCTACAAAGACAAACACTAATTATGCAACCCAGTACAAGGCACTCTAAAATATATGACAATATGCTCCACTACCACAGTCCCGGGATTATATTCGATTAAAGATCAGAATCAAATTTTAAACAAGCTACTGCCTACAGTACCCCACTAAATTAGGTGATTAATTGAGGTATCTCCAAGTTTTAACTCTATTCACTGTTAAATGATTATAGTAGTGAACTCCCAAATGATTAACCCAGCGTTTTCACTTCGGAACTATGTTACTTATTTATTGTCATGTCTGGCCACTGATAAAGCTCTCAGAAATAAGTTTAAGATGGAGAGGAAAAAAAAAAAGGCAAGTACATATTGTTAGGAAAGCTTCTAAAAGTAGACAGATATAAAGATTTGCCATCACCCACTCAATATAGTACCAGTGATGTATGCAGGATGATCCTATGTCCTACAAGATAAATTTGAAATCTAGACTACCTAAAACCATTATCATAACAAATGAACATTTTCAATTTACACTCTGCAAGAGGAAAGAACAAAGAATTGCTTAGAACAGTCACTAATTCAAGTAGCTTAGGCTTCCCAGATACTATAGCATGACAAAGAATTTTAAAATGTAATTTTTCTTAAATTCCACATTAGAAGATTACCACACCCATGAACAACTTACTTGGCACTACAAGAAATGCAAGCTTTATAAAATTCGCAAAGGCACACTGACTTGCATGATTTAGCAATTAATTAAAGTAATTCAATATTAGGAGAATATGCACCTACAGTCCTACAGTAAACTTCATTTGTTCAAATCACTTACCAAACTCTTTAGAATCACTGGACAAAAAAAGTGCATAATCATTAAAATAAGCCAAACTCATATGGTCACATCAAAGTCTTGATGTTGAAGAATTTTTACCTTTAAAACCCGCTGCCATTACACTGGCAAGGACACCACCATCATTCAGTTCATGAGGCCCTAATCCATCACCTACCACTGCTAAGCAGCGGAGGATAACCTCAACACAGAAATTATTCTTAGGCGAAACCTTAACATCGACCTGGAAACATAAAATATTTCAGAATTCTTGACAAGTGCAAAATGCAATATGTATAAATCTGTTTAGAATTCTTCACAATCAGAAAAGCTTCAGACAGATACTGTAATCATAATCGATAGACATGTAAGTAAAATCTTGCATATGGAGAAGAAAAAGACTAATTAAAAGTTAATGCTAGCGTTCTAGATTTAACATTTCTTATAGCAGTCATTATTGTTTACAAGACAAAAGGTTGCTCACAAGTCACAACACCAGATCCCAATCCCTCTGGATGATAAAAGTAGAGATTTTAAAATATTTGCAAACGACCCTCTGATCACCATAAACTGAAATGTTTCAAGACTTTCTCATTCACAAAAAAATTAATAATGGAAAAATTGGACATTATATTAAAGTATGATTGGTGTGTAGAAAATAATCTCAAATACAAATTTTGCACCAGCTCTTCTGAATATTTCCTGTAGCCTGTATGTGTATAAGATAAACTCACATTAAGTAAATTCCACCCCAAACACTTCAATATTATCTAATGTTAGTTCAAACTACTTCATTCAACAAACCTATACATGAAACCAACCAATACCAGGTGTAATCAAAGTGTTTTATGAGTGGTTATGGGATTGCTTTCTTCTATAACCTAAAGAGCATGGATCATTAGATTTAAATTCTCATCACGGGATAAATTTCTGTGCAAAACGGTCAAACTTTGGGATACTTTTCTGCCAACATTTCCCAAATTAAAGGGATTTACCGTCAATTGTCGATTTGATACAACTTCCTCGGTC